CCTCTACACAAATATTTCATCCACTTTAAATGCAAGGGTCTCATCCTTGCCTATGCTTCAGTACTTCATCATGCAAGGGCATCATCCTTGCCTATGCTTCAGTACTTCATCATGCAAGGGCATCATCCTTGCCTATGCTTCAACACTTTAGCATGCAAGAGCCTCATCCCTACATATGCTTCAGCACTTCAGCATGAGGGCCTCATCCTTGCATATGCTTCAGCACTTCATCATGAGGGCCTCATCCTTGCCTATGCTTCAGCACTTCATCATGAGGGCCTCATCCTTGCCTATGCTTCAGTACTTCAGCATGCAAGGGCCTCATCCTTGCCTATGCTTCAGCACTTCAGCATGAGGGCCTCATCCTTGCCTATGCTTCAACACTTCAGCATGAGGGCCTCATCCTTGAAAGGGACACCTACAAAGAAGTGGTCACGTGTGATGAATTAAGAGGCCTCATTCTTGGACCATGTGACTTCGCCTCTATACAAATATTTCATCTACTTTAAATGCAAGGGTCCCATCCTTGCTTATGCTTCAGCACTTCAGCATGCAAGGGCCTCATCCTTGCCTATGCTTTAGCACTTCAGCATGATGGCATCATCCTTGCCTATGCTTCAGTACTTCAGCATGCAAGGGCCTCATCCTTGCATATACTTCAGCACTTCAGCATGCAAGGATCTCATCATTGCCTATGCTTCAGCACTTCAACATGAGGGCGTCATCCTTGCCTATACTTCAGCACTTCAGCATGCAAGGGCCTCATCATTGTCTATGCTTCAACACTTCAGCATGCAAGGGCCGCGTCCTTGAAGAAAGAAAGAGGTGATCTCTTGAAGTCCCCATCCTTTGAAAAAGGAAGAAGTAGTCCTTATTCCTTGAATAAAGGAAGAGGCGGCATTATCTTGGAGTCCTCATTTAGGAAACAAAGTTCGATGAGGAGCGGGATCCTAAGAGGATCACATCTGCACTAGTGAAGTGTGGCACATGCCCTTAACAATAAATTTGATGAGGATGCCTCCGCATTGGTGAACCGCTCAACCTCATGCTCTGGAAAAGTTACTCTGTCAAGTTAAAAATATATTCTAAAGTGTAACAAGCTCATCAAAAATAAAAACCTCCTAATGAGAAAGACTCATAGGTGAAGCCTCTTCATAGATGATCCATCCCTGTGAAGAGACGCGTGAACACTTCGACGAGGAGCTGGATCCCAAAGAGGACCACATCCGCACTCAACGAAGTGTGGCACATGCTTTTAACAACTAAAATTGTTAGGAAAGCCTTAGCATGAGCGACCACTCAACCCATGCTAAGGAAAGTGGAAGGCAAAGCGAACTGCCTATATAATGAAATCAGATTAAAGTCTGTTAAAAGCCTCAGTTCATAAGCATCAATGTACTTAAGTCCAGAAACTTACAAAGTTCAGCTAGCGCTTCGGATATATACAACTTCAGATGTTACAACTTCGGAATTACTCCACCTCAAGTACCCCCCCTTCCCAGAATTGTTCCAGAAAGTGAAGTATTACCAAGTAAACCACCTCCGACAATGCCTACATAGGGTCTTCACAAGTCAAGTACATTTTAAATGAAATACACCCCCTACAAAAATTTTATTCAAGTCCATGCATTACATAAATAATCATACATAGACTTGGGGGACTATTGTTACGCCTCACCTCCGAGACTAAAAAAAAAAGTGTCTCGTAACAAGCCACGTGGACAGAAAGTTAACAAGGGAGTCAAACGAAGACTCATGAGGTCAAAACACGAAGAAGGCAATCAAAACCGAAGTCCTTGCTCTACAAGCCGAAGTGTTTGCTGAAGCGGACCTCAAAACCGAAGTTCTTGTTATAAAAGCGAAGTGCTTGTTGAAGCGGACCTCAAAATCGAAGTCCTTGCTCTACAAGCCGAAGTGCTTGCTGATGCACTGCCTAAAGAAGCAAAGAAAGGAGTTGAAGCTCTCCTCTTAGAGAACCACCTCAAAAGATCTCTCCGAGACTCTCAACCGGCCCGAGGCTCGTAAAGCCGACGTTGTTTCCTTGTAAAGTATTTGAAGATCTCTCTGAAGTGATTGATATAACGCTTGTACTAAAGTTGTCAATCTGTCAGCCTATTGTATAGGGCGGCTGGCCCCTTATCAATGTATTAATTTTATGAATAGACAATGATGTGATACCCCAATTAGGGAGATGAGTCCATGTGATTCTAATCCAACGGACACAACGTCGGCCAATATAGTATAAATAAGGTCTTCCTGTAACTTAAAAGGGGGGATCATTGATGGAAAAATGGACAATTATATATTCAAAATATACATTTGAACTCTTGAAGAAAATATATGAATATTTCATCTATCCTTCCACATATTCTTGTTTTTTATTACATAGATTAGTTTGGTTACAACCCGGGCAATCGTTGTTAGTGCGATTGCTTTCGTTCCACCCGCTGGAGCTCAAACAATTTTGTATCTTGCCGCAAAGTACCTCCCGCGTCCATTTACTCATTGCCACCGCCGTCATTCCGGTAGGAACGCGCCGGAATTGTACTTGACTTGGCGTGAGTGGGCCCGACATCCATTGATTCATTTTTTGGGGTCAAGTGGTCAACGGTGTTGTTTAAAATTATCCTTATCTAACTAGGTCGAGAATGTTGGAGTGCATTGTGACAACACAGAGTATTGAGAAAGATCCGATAACTCAAAATAAGAAAGTCAAGAACAATAACGTCAAGAAAAAGGGGTCAAAGTGAAAAAGGTTGAGGACAATCCATATATTTTAGCATTTGATGCACTTATAGTTTGTGATGGAGGAAAATACATACAAACTTGCATTTTAACATCTCATTTCAATAATCAGGTATGAATTTTTTTCTTTCAAAAATTAGGTGCTGCATCTTAACATTGACAAGAATTGTGTTTTTTGTGGGTTACATGTGGAAACGGGACACCATCTATTTTTTTAATGCTCATTCAGATCTAGCATATGGATGAAGATTAAAGCTTGGATGGGGATTAGGAGATCAATGACCACAATTCTGAGTGCTTTTGAAGTGGATCAAAAAAGAGGTCCGAGATACATTTTGGCAAAGTAAATCGAAAAGAATTGCGCTTGCTAGCACTGCATACCATATTTGGAAGACACGTAATAGAAAGATTTTTGAAGAACTTTGTCCACAAAGTAAGACGAATTAAAACACATGTACAATGTTATGTTTGCTTTGTACCTGCATGTTTTGATTCATTATGAGCATTTGGCTTTGGGACTTTAGTTCCTATTGTTTGTACATCTCTTCTTTTGATTAGCCCGGGTAAGCTCGGAATAGTTGTATTTCACCTGTTTCTTGTTCGCCCGGGTACATGAGTTTTGATCTTATCGATATGCATGTATGCAAAGTGCGGAAGCATAGATGACATCCGTAAGGATTTTTATACATATAGCACTTTCATTGGAGGGTCATGCACGGGAAAGGAGAAATGGTGCTTAAACTATTCTCTAAGGTATTGCGAATTCGACATTTATTAGCGTTCTGATGCATGCAGTCTTGCAAGATTTGTAGACGAAGGCCATAAGCATTTTGCAGAAATGTCTAATATAAAACTTAAAAGCGAGCGCCATGGCTACATAGACAACCTTTTGGGTCGAGCAGGGTTGATGCTGACTTTGTAAAAAACATGCCTATCAAGCCTGATGTGTAGATTTGGGATCGTTGCTTGAAGCTTGCAGGATCCATGAGAGCTTTAAAAAAAAAAAAAAACAATGAATGGAGATTGTGGATTGAAGATTTGAAAAGATGAAAGAAAATCACGGTTGGTGCCTTAAAAATGGTCTATGCGACCGCATAGACCTATTCAGGGAATAAATGGTCGACCACGGTTATAACTATGCGATCGCATAGTTATAGCAATGCGGTCGCATAGTAGAGAATTTTGACCGTTGGATTCAAATTCTGGTGGTTTTCTTGTGAAATGATACACCTTTTCACCATGGTTTGGAACTACTTCGTATAGGGATGATTGAGTACTATAAATACAAGTTAATTATCATTTCAAAATATGATTTTTAAAATTTTTGGAATCATCCCTTTTTTCATCCCAAAATTCTGGCGAAATTATTGTCCTTCACATAATCAAATTAATACCATTTTACTTGTTCATTTTTGAAGAATAAACTTTTGGCGTCTATTTTTAGGCTTGAAATTCTACAAATTATTTGCCATTTAATCGTTGAGGAGGCAAATATCGTTTGAGGACAATGATATCAAGTCTTGTTTCTATTTCCTTATTCACCTTCTTTTCTTTTTTGTTTTCAGGTGAGGAAAAGAATGAAAAATCCTGGACGCAGCTCAATTGAATTGGATTGTGTGGTTTATGAATTTCGTCGGGGAGATAAAGCGCACCCCTAGTCGAAAGAAACACACATGTTACTTCATAAAATGAAACATCATTTTGATAAATAACTTTGCATATTTACCAGTAGACAATGGGTGATGACGGACAAATGGTTCACTCCATAATGATATAGAAGAATAGACCTGTTTTTGCAGATAATTGACAGTTTAACCGCGCTCTATTGTATCTTGAGATAAGTTTACGAATAACCAATTTGCTTATGGTGGGGTCGAATATATTCTTAAAAAACATCATGATCATCACGTAATTTAAAGAATAATACAATCAACTTGTCTCTTAATCAACATATTTTAGTGAAGGAATTGGCAGTAGGAAAAAGCTAGCCAAATAAGCCTATTCTTGATACATCGTCGAGTAGTTTAATCAAGTTGTGACAGCCTGCAATATTAACATTGTATACTTAATGTGAAACCAATTGGCCCTTAAAGATATTGCAAAATCATTGTACACAACGTCAAATATTTTCATATTCCCATCTTAGTAACGTCCGCAAGAACAATCTCTTGACATTATATTACAGATATATCTGTAATTTTCTTCTCCTCGCATAGGAAGATCAAGACCAAACACTCATGATATTTGGTTCATCAATGCCGAGCTCACCAATTCCGCTTTCCAATTCCGCTCCCGGTCGACACTCACTTTCCCACTCTGATGTGCACAAGTCCGTGCACTCGGCCGGCTCCCTGGCGGCCTGGCCGAAGAAACTAGGCGACTTTATCAAAATAAAAGGCAGTCCGACATCCAAGAATGCAGGGCTGACTGAAGAGAATCTACAAGAGCTCAATAGAAGAAACGCAATTCTTGAGACAAGGTACTCTACAAGCAGCCCTTATTACAAGGGCCTAACAGATTTTTCACTTGTTATCAATAGAGAAAAGCTGTCAGGGTCCAGTCCTGGAAGAGAAAGCCATGCAGCAACTTTTGTAAGTTCTGCATCCAAATCGAGTTTCGTAGTCCAGGTGCGAAAATGGAGTACTTCTTGCTATTCCATGAAAAACCATGAAAAAACCTCTTCATCGTCAAGTTCTTTCTGGAGTAAGAGCTCCAGACACAATCGTGCTATGACTTCCGATTCATCATCCTTGAAAGCAACTGCTAAAGGTGTGATAATAACAAAGATTAGAACTAAAACAACAAATGATTCAGAATCAGAGCGGGAAGAAGTCAGTTTTACTGCCAACGGGAACGCAGTTGCTACTGGTTTGTCAAATAAGAAGCCCTTGAGTGAGAGAGAACAAGAAATACCACCCAACGTTCCCTCACCAACTTCACAACCACAAATATCATCACAAACTACACAAGACCTGCTTTTGCCACCATCTCCACCACCTGCAAAAACATCACCTATGGAAGAAGTGCAAACTCCAGCAACTGCAGATGCCCCGCCACAAATATCATCAAAAAATACAGAAGACTTGCTTTTGCCACCATCTCCACCACCACTTGCACAAACACCACCTATTGCAGCAGCTCAAACTTCAGAAACTGGAGAGGTCATCCTAAAAAATGAGGAAACAAAGAGATCGGAAAATGATAGAAAATATGTATGGGCAGGCAACTATAGGCCCTTTTATTTGCAAGATTTTCTATGCAATCGAAGAACAGCACTTTGGCTACAAGATGTGGTAAGCATATTTCTCACTTTTCTTATGTTTTTGACCTTTTTCACTACAACAAAAAGGATTGATAGTAAATGTTGAAAATTTCTAGCATAAAGATAATTCTTAAAAATTTCTATTTGTCACCGTTCTATATACCATCGACCATAAAAATGTAGCCAACACCAAATACTCACTATACCATTCACTGACACTATTGCATAGAAATCCATCAACATAAGGTCAAGTTTAATTATTCTGTTATATAACTCAAAATTAGGTAGCTAAAATCAAGTTGCTCTTCATTAACATAGAAAACACATAGAAGAAGTCACAAAATTAAGTTATAACCAAATATGTATTTACCTTGAATAAGAACTGGTGAAATATCAATATGGGCATTATTGTGTGTCAAAGGTAGATGTCCTTCCCACGTTTATAATTTCTTATACATTGATATTGTATATTATATAATCTTATCATACAGGAATGGACTTTGTAATCCAAAGTGTCTTCAGGTGCTGTAAAACTCAGTAAAATTCTTTGAGTATCCTGGATTGATGTCCAAGCAACACTTTTGACATGAATTTTAGAGACTGATATCTTTTTATTTATTATCAACAGGCAAGGGAGGAGTGCAAGGAATTTTATTTGAAGGTGAACTCCATGTTTATATTTACATAATTAAGTGCATGGATAGAAGCTACACTATATTCTCTTCTCCAAATCAATGTATAAATGGCATGCAAAAACATGACAGCTTTTCGTTGTGAATCATTTCTTCTTTCGTTTCTTTGTCAGTCTCTCAATAGAGTTAGACCAGCAACTAGGCTAGCATAGTGAAATATCCAGAGTTGAATTGCTTGGAGAATACAAGTTCACAACAGAATAAAAAAGTCAATACCTTTACCCTTCACCTCAGTTATGAGTCTACAGGAGAAGTAGCATTTTGCCGGTTAACAATTTCAATTTTGTGTGCTTGAGATGCATAGAACTTAATGAGCTTTCAAAGCAAATAGCAAAGTCCATACTCTTAAAGATTCAACAGCTCGAAACTCATCACGAGATTCTATCAGAGCTTGTATACCCCCAAAATGTGCTTGCTGCTCATGAACTCTACCACATTGCATGTACTTCTCACTGTCAAAAGTAGACCTGCCAAAATTTAAAATATGATAGAAGCAGGACAACATCCTAATTGCTTAGCAAGACTATCCAATTTCTCAACAGGCATATGAATTCGATAAATGTTGACAATGTATTCATCACAGGGAGAAGGAGTGGGCAGTGTCCTGGTAAATTTAATGGTGTCACAACAACACACTGAAGTCAAGTTCTCTGAACTAAAAGGATACGAGAAGCATATCCTTGTTGAACTTATTAAAGAGAGACGTACCAAGTTGTCCAACAAAGATTTGCAGAGAAATCACGGGGAATGCAGAGGTAATACACATGAAATAATCTTTTATGAGAAACTATTTTTACTTGAAAAAATGCTGAGAAAATGACATTACTTCGTCCACATAATCTTGCAGCAATCATTCTATATGACGCAGACAAGATATCTACTGATATCCTGACATATATCAAGTGGACATTAGAGAGGTTTAAGGGGTGTAACAAAGTATTCTTTTGCTGCAGTGATGTCTCAAGACTAGAGCCTGTAAAGTCACTATGCACTGTGGTTCAACTCCTCCCACCTTCCATTGAAGAGGTAGCAAGCTCATATGTTTTAGGCATATTTGGTAGGGTGGATAGGACAATATAAGAAAAAGGAGGAAGCTAAAATCTTCTCTATTAAATCGTCGAGACCTGTCTACATTTGTCGTAAATAAGCCCTTTATGTCTCAAATTCAGCAATCACTCTTACATTCGACTTACTTCTCACTTCAACTTTTACCTTCACTTTTACTTCTCTCTTTTCTAGATTGTAGAAGTTTTGAAATTCATTGCAAAAAAAGAAGAAATACATTTACCTCATCAGTTGGCAGTTAAGTTTGCTAACAGCTCCAACAATAACCTGAGACAAGCCATACGCTCATTTGAAGCTACCTGGCACTTCAAGTAATGCTCAGCTACTTACACGTGTTTTGTGTATTCTTGAAGTCAATGTTCTGTTTTTCAAGGTCAATTTTTTCCCCTAACCTTATTTATGTGATGATGTGGTTTCAGTTCATCCTTAACTGAAGATCAAGCCATTAAGACTGGGTGGGAAGAGAAAATTGCAAATCTTGCTAGAAATATAATACAAGAGCAAACCCCAAAGCAGTATGTGTCAATTCTAAAGCTTTGCAATTCTCAGATGTGGAAAATATCACCGTCTCCTCCTTAATTTTATATATGTGCATGTTTGTCTAAGCTTAAAAAATTTACATACAAGTAAATAAATTTTAAAATAAAATAATTTTTCCGTTGATCAAATTTCAAAACAAGTTACTTATTTTAAAGTAACTCGCTAACTCCAATCTTACTGTCAAGTAAGTTGACTTTTTTTACTATAAAACAACATGTAACCTATCTAAACATGTTCATACAAAATTTTATTTAAAATCCAAATCATGCTCTATTTAACTACTCATAAAAACTGTCTACACCCAGTACAGATCTAACAGTGAGAATCATTTACTTCCATAGGCTTTATATTATCCGAGGAGAACTACAAATTCTAATAGAGCATGCTGTAGCTCCTGAGTTCATATTAAAAGTAAGAGCATCCTAGTCCTTTGTCTTACCTAAGTACTTAAATTTCTATTAACCTATCTCTCCTGTGCAGACCCTTGTTGAAGAATTGAAGAATCATGATGAGAGCTTGCAGCCACTATTTTGCAATATGTGTGATGAATACAGTGTATGAAATCCAGCAAATCAAATAATTTATTTCAAATTCCAAGATATTTGATTGTTGATACATAAACATAGCATGAGAAATAACCATTTTTTCTTTTGACCAGAGAAATCATGAAGCTAAGAAGCTTATGGCCTCTGCTTGTGCACGGGATCAACAAGCGGAACTTAGTAAAAGAGAAACCGATTCTCGAAAGAATGTGGAACAATTTATGATGATTGAAGGTAAGATGAGAATTCATGATACCAATAACAGGACAGAAAAGAATTTTATTTTTATGTTTTAACACTTCACACGTATAAAGGCAAGAAATTAATTATCCAAGAAAGGATTTGGATAATGTTTTAAGCATGTGTAAAAGTCACAAGGACCTGGAGAATACTTGAGATTAACTTGACATGACATTCTCCACAACTATGCACTTACTTCAAGGAAGAATACAAAGTACTTACATTCAAAATCTTGATTCTGAAAGGTATGACAAAATGCTGAACGCTTATGACTTTTGTTCCGAAACATTGCATGCTTCTCAAGTGGCTTTTGGATTCAGTCTTTCGTTCAAAACCATCCATCTGAACATCAGAATTTGAACAGTATTTAGTAATTAATTTAAACATTAAAATACCAAGTACTCTAAACATCTAAATATCTGAACCTAATTATTGCTTTGATCTAGATTTTGGTGCCTAATATCGCCATTTCATGAGCTAAAGAGGAACATATTTTTGCCTGCTACATATAAACAGAAGGTCACTAGAAGCATGGTAATTTTCAACTTGATCAACATTAACTACATTAGAAAAAGGAAAAATCAAAGAATGGTTTTGCAAATTTGGGGATGTATAGTGCTAAGATTATGTGCTTAAGAAAAATCAGTTTGGGTTTGAGGAATCAGTATTTTAGGAACAAATAAATCATTCAGGAAGATGGTCACAGTATTTTAGGAACAAATAAATCATTCAGGAAGATGGGCACAATTGGTAGTTGCAACCTAAAAGATAGGCAAAGAAGAATAGAAAGAGAAGAAATTCAAGAAGCAATGAGAATTATATGTCTTCTCCTGAATATCATAATATCAGGCATTTTCATGCATTTTCTTGGATGCTATTCTAATAGGCACTAACTTCACTGCTATTCTATCAGTAGAATGGGGACTTCTATTAAATAGTTGAGTGTTTTGTTTATTTGTTAGCAGGTTCTTGTAAACATGCTGCTCTTACATGTGGCTTTCAGCTTTTCTCACATTTTTACTAATACAAAAATAAATAGCTATTACCATTTCTTACTGACTAATATACCATGTAGAAAGGAAAAAAAAAAAAAAAAAAAGCNAAAAAAAAAAAAAAAAGCTGTGTATTACAATCATTTAGTCACAGACTTCAAGTACTCTTACATGCTCTTCTTCCATGCGTATAAAATATATACTCCCTTCGTCTCAATTATATAGGCTTGTTTCGTTTTTCACACTGATAAAGAAAACTTTTTAAATGTCATTGAAAAATTTAATTTTTGCCAAGATCTTTCATAGTTTACCCCTATTTAATTTTCAGTATGTAAAATTAAATTATTGTTGGAACTAATAAAGATTTTGAAGAAGAAGAAGAAATGAGAGTTGTTTCATGTTTCCAATGGGAAATGTGTGTATTTGGATGATTTCAAGAAGTTGGCATATTAAGTGGGAAAAATTTAATGAGGGTATATTGGTAAAGGAATACAACAAAATATTTTACATTATGAAACATGTCTATATATTTGGGACAAAAGAAAAATGAAACTCAACCTACATAATTGGGACGGAGAGAGTATAATAATAATACAATGAATTTAAGTGTGCTACATGATTCACTTTCTGCATCTTTCTGCAGAGTTCATTGCGAAATTCATGAGCTGGTACAAGAGCTTGGTTGTAAAGAACAAGGGGCTTTGATCGGGTGCACTCTAAGGATGATATTGGCAGATTGGTTTGCCTTTCTTTATGTTCTGAATATAGTTATAGAAAATTTCTTTGCAATCAAGTTTTATCTCATAACTTGAAGAATGCATATAAGCAGTAAAATGAAAAATTTTAATAAATGCCCGAGTCTGGCATACATTAATACAATTATAAAGTTGTACGTACCATTTGATTCTGGGAATTCTCAAATAACTGATTCTCTTCTGAATTTCCATGCTTGGAAGAACTGCATGTGATTCCGATAGGCACCCCACCCCTTCCCCCTCCCGATAGGCACCCCACCCCTTCCCATTCCCATAGAAATCCTCCTGTATTCCAAATGGAAATAGAGGCGAACTGTTGATTGTCCTGCAGTCACGAATAGCAAGCTTGAAGCTCAGACTTGAAGCAATGAATTTATTCTTACAACTTCTATAACCAGCATGTAATTCATTGTCATTTAACTAGCCAATGAAGTAAATGGCATTCTTTTTTTATCAAGCATTATACACAAAATCTATTTGAAATAAATGCAATAGGCCAAACAAATAGGAAAATGTTGAACCATTTGTTCTAAAAGCTTTAGAGAGGTTCACGTGTATATCATTTCAATTGTGTCTTTAACATGCCCACTCACGTGTAGACCGGTTTCATTTTTCCAATCAAAGACCTAACACGTGCAAAAATTTAATAAAAAGAGCTACCCATTCCCTCTTGGTGGCATTGAATGTCTACCCCATGCTCCCCCTCACATTGCCTTTTCAGTTAACGAGCCATGGAGCAATGCTCTCTGCCTTCACTACCTGTCTTGGAGGATTCCCTATTTCCAGTGTTCCAGAAGCAGGGAAAGACATCCATAGAGGCCAAGTACCAGAATGTTGCTGCCAGTGTTGTTTAATTGCCATAGCTTACAGACATTTCAACTAAACTACACATCCCACTCCAGAAACCATCTCGATTGCTTTGTGACATCTTGATGCTACCTAGCTTTGTGCCAACCAAATATTCTACTCCCAGATGAAACACACAGAAATCTACTATCATTTTTGTCCCAAGGTCGGCATTTCATATGGAAGCACCTTATTGAACAAGAATATTAGGAAATCATCTCAACTCACTATTCACTCCGATATTGAAGAAAAATCTGAGATCAACCCTTAATTCCAGCATCAATTCTTCACTCTATTTCTTTGAATACGCCTATTGATGTGGATTGCTTGCTTCGGAATACTCTCTTGTACTTTTGTATATAAACATCTAGAAGAGTGTACAAATATTGAAAACCAAATAAGTACAATTAACATTTTCCATTCATATTTTCCTAGCTCTTTTCTCTTTAAAGATTTTAGAAAACTTTAAACCGTCATTACTTAAAATACTTCACGAACCTGCAACAAAGTGGATTTCAAATTTTCTGGAAATAAAGTTCTTCCTTAATAACACAATGTCCACGAAAACCTATAAACACTATTCACCACTTGCGCCTTCTTATTAGCACCAGATGTCTCGCACTGGATGAAAGTGTATCTGCATTAATAATTGGCTGATAATGAAACAGAAGAAGAAAATTCAGATGTTAATATAAGAAAAGTAGATGAAGGAAAATGGGTTGACGCGAAACGATCGGCGGCGGCGGCGGCGGCGGCAGAGGTGGAGTAGGGTGGCGAGTCGGAGGGACGAGCTTCAAGTGCTTTTTCCTTGTTTCTTTTCCTTTTATTTCCCTTCCCGTAGCGCAATTTTTGGAGTTAAATGTTTCTATGGCCACTGAACTTTGCATCATGTTTAAAAGCATTCCATTAGCCACCGAGCTTTGATCCTTAATTGTCCATTGCTCACCGGGTGATGCTGTTTCATTTACGCCTTGTTTTGTTTGGGAGGGATTTTGATTTTTTTTTACAGTAAATCAATTCTTTTTTTCAATCACACATTTTTTAATAAAATAATATTTTTCATCACATCAATAATTTATTCTACTTTTTCAACCACACATTTCACATTATATCACTATTCAAAATCAATTCTTCCCCAAAAAATCTCTCCCTAATGTTGACATGGAGGACGTAAATATGATCTGGCATGTTAGCTCCTTCCAAATGTTAACTCCTCTGCCAACTAAGCTCCATTTCATCAATTCAAAACACTACTCTTCAAACACGCCCTTCCGAAATTTGAGGTCTTGTACTGGCAAATGTCTAGGAGCAGGTGTGGTGATGGTTTTGTTGATTAATGTTAAGAAATTTACTTCAGTGATGTGCATTCCTGTAGAATGTATAATGGATGTAATGTGCATTCATGTTAAGAAATTTAGTTCAATTGAAATTGTTTCGCGCTGGTAGTCGCTAACAATTAAAAAGAAATTCAGACGATTGTGTAAGGGACAAATCTCTTGAGATAAAATCCTAAAAATGGGTGCTTTATTGATGAGAGTTACAATTGGAACTAAACAGAATGCCTCTAAGGGGCGCAAGCACACGAATACTGAAAGAAGGATAATTAAAGTTAATCTAAAATATTGAAATTACATATTCTCTATTTGAGAGTGTTTGATTCGGGATTTTTTCCTCTGTCTATTCTTTCCTTTTATACTCCCATGACGACTTCTGCGTGACAAACCGCTTGAAAACTGCTACCCATTTTCTTCATGATGCCTAATTTTGTCATGAAACTGTCATCTCTAACTGATGTCATTACTTCTCATTGTTCAACTGCCTTCAAAGAAGTTTCTTAAATTGTGGAATGTGATAATCAGCTCGATAACTGTCTCAGTAACAGCTATTCTAGATGACCATAATATCTCACATATTAGGATTTTGGGCGACTTGAAGGTTTGAGCAAAAACGAGGTTGTCGAGCTAAGCGACAGTGAGACACTCCATTCGTCCAAACTCTGGACGTTATGCGAGCTTAGGCGATAATATTACTGTGTTCGTGGGCTCCTTCTACACTTATCAATAACCTCATTTGGGCCTTTGTCCCGGGCTTCCAATTGGGCTTCACTCTTTTGGGCTATCCAATTTGGGCTGTATTTTTAGTTTGTCAACAGAAATGTCAAGATGTTCTGCCTTCTGGTTTCATGCACCGTATGCTTCAATTGGTGAAAAGCTCCGAAAAAAAACTGCATAGCATTGAACGAAATATCTCAACTTAAATTGGTGAAAAAATCAAGGCAATCTTCACAAACGATGAGCAAATGACTTCACCATAATCAAGTCATAACATAAATATACTATGGGTTGGCTTTAGAAAATGGAACTGAGGAATATTGATCTCCCTGTTTCTCTGAGCCATCTCTTCATCTTTAGTTCTTGCTTCTCTGAGCTAAGTGAAATATTTTCTAAAGACCTCCTAATCTTCTTCCACTTGGGAGATTTCTTCTCAGACTTTGCCCCAATTTCCAGGGATTTTCAATTCCCGGAGAATCGCTAGGTGAAATGAAATGGATACGAGGGTGCAGGGGTTAAGGTTTGGGGGTGCTTAATTGATAAGGTGTGTTTGGCTGATTTGGAAATCCACGTGTGTATTTGGTTAGAAATTTGGACAATTTTAAGAGAGTAATGTTATTCATCACCACTGAAGTTGAGCCCCATTCTATGTGGCAATTACATGGGATTACATGATAGATTTATTTAAATACAAAATCACATTACTTATTTAATTAAGTCTATCATTTAATAACATATAATTGCCACATAAATTGAGGCTCAACCCCAATGAGGATAAATAACATTATTCCAATTTTAATTGCCACATCACTATTCTGTCTTCCACGTAGATAGATCTACATATAGAATCCATCCAATGGCTTATGGAATGCAACGGGCCTAAGTTCAGTGGCCACTGGGATGATTTTTTAAGTTGGGTGAGTAAGTCGTGACGAAGTGTAAAGTTCAGTGGCCAGTGAAACATTTAACTCTAATTTTTGATACACATTATTTAAAATTCTTGTATATTCGTGTATGGAATGCAATCGGCCTAAGTTCGAGCAAGAAGAAGTTGCAATTCTTCCTTGTTATCATCATTCTCCATTAACTAAATCCACCTCTCTTCAAGATCCAAGAAGCTAGTAGGAAAAATCCGAAATTTCGAGCTATGAGCGTGAGAAGTTCGATAGGACTTATTAATTGGGTCCCACAACTTTTAACCACATTTCATTAACTTTTATTAAAATTTACTAAAAAAATGATTTTAATTATCACCAAATAGGGGCTAGATATAAAATTCTACATATCTCAACTTATATATATATATATATATATATATATATATATATATATATATATATATATATATATATATATATATATATATATATATATATATATATATATATATATATATATATATATATATATATATATATATATATATATATATATATATATATATATATATATATATATATATATATATATATATATATATATATATATATATATATATATATATATATATATATATATATATATATATATATATATATATATATATATATANTTTTTCAGGCAGCTGTTCAATTTTTTATTTTTTATTTTTTATTTTGCAATGGGAACAAATGTTATAACCAATTGTAAAAAAAAAAATTTCACTTTAATGGACAATTTCTATATAAAACAAAGTCAAATGAACACTAAACTTTGATAAAAAAATGATTTTTTAGGAAACAATTTTTTTATTTTTTGGTAATGGAAACAAATTTTATAACCAATTGTGGAAAAAAAGATCACTTTAATGGACAATTTTCATGTAAAATAAAGTCAAATGAATAGAAAATTTAAAAAAATTCCGGGCGAAAAATTATACCCATCAAAAGCATTTGAAATCATTTTCCCTACAAAATATTTTTTAGGCAAATCGTTTCCTTGTAAAACATTCTCTTTCCACCCATTTTCCACCCTTACAATCAAACGCACCCAAACTTTTTGTAATTAGTAGTAGTACATTTATTATACACGAATATAAATTTAGTTTGATTGCTCTTACTTTATATCGTATTGTATTATGGTTGCTAATATGTAAATTCAAATTGTTCAATCATTTTTATCTCTAAAGGTTGATCTTCATGGTTTTCATCTTAATTAGAATAGACGACATTACCAATCCTCATTGTCTTGGTGGGTAAAGAATTTTTCCAGTTTGGTTGAAATTTTAATGGTTGAAATAGTGTTTTTATGAAAATTATGTGACTAAAAAAGAATAACAAATTTTGGGATTATATGTAACATCATTTTATTGAAAAATGTGTGATTGATAAGAAGATAGTGAAAAATAAATTATAATTTTAATGAGGTTTATATCCACTCTCAAGGTCTAGGGTTTGAGACTTGTAACCTATGATGAGAAAAGAAAGTGGAAAAGGTAGATGTATTATGAAATACTTATGGATTTTCATTTGTTTTATATAATCTTTTATTTGATTGCATTTAGAAAAGATGAAAGTGATGTATATTAAGTCTTCGTTTGGTTTAGATAAAAATCAGATTTTTAGTAGATTTTGATAAAAGTTGTTAAAATGTGTGTTTGAAAAGTTGTGAATTTCATACAATACGTAGTTAAAGTTAATAGATTTAAGCCTTAAGTACAGGAAATAATCAACAGATTTCATACAGAGTGCTATCGTGGCAGCACCTTGTTTGCCTTTTTTTTTTTTCCTTCTTCCAATGAAAAATCACCAAGTGTTGTTTCTGTAATTTTTCTATGATTATATCATGTACTAGTAGCAAAGTTCAAATTAATATTGACTTTGACTTGAATTTCAATTCAAATTTTTAGATGAATTATTCATAGGCTAAATTCCAAATTGGAACTATGTTGCATCTAGTTCTCGCAAGATTAGGGTACTCTAAACTTTGGATATAAAGAGTGAGAATGTAAAAAACATATCTCCTACAAAATAATATGAATGCAAATTTTACTAAATTGATATGTACATATATATATTTCATAAAAAATTACCATTTTCGTTAAAAGGATAATAAATTTTACATCAAGTATTGGATTATAATTGTACGCATAATATACTTCCGTTCGGATACAAATTTATAAATTAATTGGAATCAAATATTAATTTCTCATTATTAACTGCACATTTCGTGAGACTCATTACTATTTTTCTTAGCATTGCTCTTTATAAATCAAATATAAATTTGACAAAGGGAAGTATAATATAATTAATATAAAATACAATACATTGCACCAAATGCAATGATTAGACTTTCTAGAATCAATGTTTAATTGTTTTGTTAATCTAAAGACGTAGGGTGCAAAAAGAAGGTAATGATAGCAACATTAATCTAACTTAGGTTTGATTTAACATTTTTCTTGTTCTGAAAAATGAGTGTTGGTTTGGACTTTCTACCTGATTTCACCTATTGAGTGGACAAAGATTAGAAGAGGTAGAGATAAAGAAATCACACCGCAAACGTTAACCTTAAGCTTTCATTTGGGTTTCATTTTCTTCTTCTAAATTTTACTTTGTCAAATATTAATATTAATTATATATTTGATAATACATACAAATATAAAATCCAAACATTAGCTAAAAGCAACATAAGAATTCACTTCTCAACTTCCTACAATAGGTTAATCTTTTGAGCTTTGGCATTCGTACCGAAAAAGACAGCCCACCCCGTTGACAGATAGTGCGTGATTCGTGAAAAAACTGTCTCATTTTTTAAATATGCCAATGACAGAATGCCTCGCATTCCGTCAAATAAAGTGTAAGAATTTTCTATACAAGTAGCATGGTTCTAATCTTTTACCATAATCATTATCCCATTTGACTGTTAACCTACCTAACACGTAAGCCATCGACAATAGGAACACACAAGTTTTATTCTCTATGACCGATGATTATTGTTTAACCCACCTTGTCAAATATGGTAGAAGGATCGCAATGCTCCCTGAACACGACATCTCGATCTGTACCGACGTAGTTTGGGCTCGACTGGAAGGCCAAGATGGATAGAAACAGAAGTCGATTCGAAGCACTAATTTTGTGCATTCAATTTTCTTTTGAAACTAATGATGCTATACAAGTACTTCTTCTTCATTGATGTAAAATGTAAAAATGAGCTCATTATTTTCATTTATGTTGGTAAATCTTGACAATTTACAAAGAATTATTCTCCGTAGAAGATATGTATATTCAATGAAGGATTACAGAATTCTTGCCTTTGTCATGAACTATGAACATGCATCTGCCCGTGGAAATGGATCTTTTCATTGCAACTGGCCTATTAAAATCCTCTTGAGGAACCAGATTCCTTCCAAGACTGACATTTCTTCATTAGTATGTCCTCATCAACTTCTTCCATTCGCAAAATTTCACCAACTGAAAGATCGTTTTGACACAAAAATGTAGCTAAAGAACTTGATCTGGTAAAGTCGTTAACATCTTTAGGATCAGTAGTCCTTGCAATGTTACTATTTCTTGTTTCAGAATCCTCTGTATTGGTATTAAGTGGAGAGGGGCTCTTTGGTCGAGTATCATCAGTAACAAGGCTAACAACCAGCTCGTCTTGGTGATTACTTTCACGATCACGATCATCCACTACCACGATTAAATCATCCGAGCCTTGAATTTCAAGAGATGCTATGTTGAGAGCCAGTGAATTCTGAGAACTCAGAGTAGATAGAGGTACTGCATTAGTAGAAGTAACACTGGCACGACAGAGAGGACAATTCGCGTGAGACTTTAACCATGTATCGACACAAGGAAGGTGAAAAGCATGGCTGCATTTTGGCAATAGTCGAAGGCTCTCATTTTCTTCGAATTCACTTAGACAAACAGAACACTCAGTCCCGTCAATTAGACCATCACCTTTGTTGTACTTAAAAACTGTGATAGTGTTAATAAGTGCCTCATCTAGTCCATGTGAAGTAACCTGCCACTGATCACGATTCGTTTCATCACGAATTTCATCCAATTCCTCGCTCGCACTCGGATTACTTCTTCGCCTGCAATATCCTGTGACAATGGTATAGTAACTTACCAGCATAAACGCACTTGCCACGATGCCAATGATGGCGATAACCAGAGGGGAAAAAGGGGTCCTGGAATCATCATCTGACGGAGGAGGCGGAGGAGGAGGAGGGAAGATTATGTAGCACCACTGTGGACAATACATGCTACAAATTCCTTGTGAACAGTCCTTATAACTATAAGGTGCCCAAGGATTTGTATTTCCAACAGATCCCATGCCCAAGAACTCTAGAGTACTGTCAATAAAATTTTCAATAGCCTATACTACCATCCCCTAGTGGGGGTCGGGTAGTCAACACCAGAGCAACAAAGGACTATCTAAATTGATTCGTTTTTGCCAATAAGCTCTAGGAGAGGGGAAGAAAGGTAAAGAGAAGGTGAAAGTTGATGTATCCTGACATATTCTTCTTCTTTTTTGGCTTTGTTCCTCATATTCTTGCTTTATATTTTTGGCTTTTACTTTGGTGCTTTTAATATTCACCAGAGATTATGGTTAGCTGACCAAAGCTATGTGTTTGTGGAGAAAATTATCAATCAATTCTAAACTACAGTCCAAGTTAGTTGATGGATCTGAGTGTGTCAGATTTGCAGAAACACCAAAAATAGTGTGAACTTTCTGTCCCCACAGAAGAAAGTGGCACAAGAAATGCCAATTACTTAAAGCTAAAAATTATTCCAACTGGTGACATGTATGGTTTATCTTAAGCTTCTTGTTCCAACCATGCTGATAAGCTCCACTCTTGAAAAACGACGTGTACAGAAAGCGTTTTTAATTGTTTACAAGTTCATTAGCTAACTTCAGCCCTGGTTTGATTCTCATTATTTTTAAAATACATTTTTGTCTCTCTAATTTTCAACCACACATTCTTCAATATAATAATATTACACATAGATTCAAAACTTTTCTTCGTTTCTAACTACATTCACCATCTAAATACTATTTAAAAATGCATTTTCATCAAAAAATGGGGTTCAAACAAGCTATTAATTTAGCACTGTGAAATGTAATTATAGTCATTATAATATATTTTTCTTTTTCTATTCGACATCCGTGCGATTCATAATCTTATACGATAATCATTCTTTTATTGAAAGTAACATTGTCCCAACTCATTTCGTCGAGAATGAGATATGGTTACAACAACATTGCGTAGAACTCAATCTTAAAACTAATTTGTCAATAAGGGTTTTCGAATGATTTATAATTACAAATGCACATATCAAGTCTTAAGGTAGTGATATATGACAAAATTAGATTAGTGTGATCTACATACATGAATAACATGATCAAATGTCTACGGAAAAAAACATGTTTTTATTGTAGAGCTTATGAGAGCACGAAATACAAGCATGAGAACCAAGGAATGTTGGTTTCAATGCACGGTAGACCGGGACGAATCCAGGATCGGATTACAGGCCGAGCTAATACGTTAAAAAAAAAAAATTACACATGATTTTTTTTTTTTTGCATAAATTTTTCTTTTTCTAACTAAAAAAAATTAGTTGGGGGA